GTTGATACCAACTTGTAACATCCCAAAATACGACCCAAAAATTTTGTTTAATCATTACTAAAATCATTAGATCAATACCATAAAATAAAAACCCATACGTCAATATCTCAAAACCATAACAAAGTATCACGAGAAAACCGAATCAAGACTGTATCAAATCATATCTATGAAAAGCTAAATCAATTCCCAGGACAAAAACTGAAGCTGTGGTGTGTGCGATGCCATCATCCCGAGCTCTTCCCTTTACTTGCTGAAGTACCTGAAACCAAAACTGAAACTGTAAGCACGAAGCTTAGTGAGTTCCCCCAAACTACCACATACCATACAATATGATATAAAACACATATTGGGCCTTGCCCACTGCATCAGACCGAAGTCCAGAAACTGCATCGGACCGGAGTCCGAAACTAACCAGGGCCTTGCCCTCTGCATCAGACCGGAGTCTGAAAACTGCATCGGACCAAAGTCCGGAACTGACTGGGACCTTGTCCTTAGCATCGGACCGAAGTCCGGAACTAACTGCATCGGACTGAAATCCGGAATTAACTGGGACCTTGTCCCCTGCATCGGACCGAAGTACGAAAACTGACTGAGCATAACATAGCATAGCATAAACACATCAACTAGTATAAGCACTGCATCGGACCGAAGTCCGGAACATGTAACACAAAACATGCTTGAATCAGAAAGACACCAAGAAATCTAACTACTGCATCGGACCGAGGTCCAGAACTACTGCTAACTAAACGGGATGGCATTATGGCCTTAGACCCGTTCCTACTGGAAGGAAAACTCACCTCGTAGTCTGGCTGCTGAGTGAACTGCTTTGAAATCTGTCTATTGTTGCTCCGGTATCTCACTGGTTACAAATTCCATAAGTACACTCAATCAAATACTGATAACTATACTAAGGGTGAAATGACTATTTTACCCCTGGTTAAAGGAAACCTCTTGGTCAAAGTCAACATACAGTTGACCTGACTCACCAAGTTGGGCCGCTAACTCATCGAGTCCGTACTCTCATTTCTCGCTTCTGCTCGCTACTACTCGTCGAGTTTGGCATAGACTCGACGAGTCCTTCTTTGATACCAACACTTAGTCAATCTGCATCCGACTAGCCGAGTTGTATGAACAACTCGTCGAGTTCTCCTTCAACATATGAACACTCCGACTGTGACTCGCCGAGTTGTATGAACAACTCGCCGAGTCTCTTCTTGAGATATGAAGATTGCCTTGGACTCGCCGAGCCATGGCATTGACTCGTCGAGTCCCTCCATGAATGAGTCCGATCTCTGACTCACTGAGTCCACCTATAACTCACTGGTTACACTCAGCATAATACATGAAAGGGGAAAACTCGAGGACTCGCAACTCGACTCGCCGAGTCTGAAGAACGACTTGCCGAGTCGGTTGCATGCAACTTCTATACAGTTGAATCTACTCAAAACCAATGCATACAACTTATAGATCTGGGTTCTTAAGGCTTAGTTACCACGTAAAGTTTACAACTTTACGTGTACATATGCATGAAAAGGGATTTAAAGGCTCAAAAGACACTTAAATGAGTAGATCTAGGGCTTTCATGCAAAATGGCTCCATAAAGGTATTAGATCTAAGTTTTTGGAACTGAAACATGGCTAAATCCGAAGGCTAATCAACCCAATGCGATCTCTCTACTATAATCAAGCTAAGAAATGGATAAAATGGCCTAAATCTGATTTAAAATGGAGAATCAATCATAGAAACAGAAGGAATCTGATTAGTACCTCAATAAACTCTGTAATGGGTGCAAGATCTTGGATCTCCTTCTACTCCTTTGGATCTAGCTTCCTTCTTCTCTTCAAAACTTCAAGATTCACACAAGAAATGCTCAAAACGCTCAAGGAATGGTTAGTCTTTGCTAAATGATGCTCTAAGGGTGAAGGAGGCGAGTTTCGGGCTCATAACATGGTTTAAATAGGGTGCAAAACCCGTGGATATAGGGTTTCTTCCAGACTAGCAGACTCGTCGACGAGTCTAGGATATGGACTCGCCGAGTCACCAACGTAAACGTGCTCAATATCTCGTCTCTACTCGGCGAGTCGGGCCTACAACTCGCCGAGTCCCAGCTAAAAAAGCATAGATACTTAGATTAAAATACATACCAGGAACCAGGTTCTACACATATTGGGCCAGGGGTAAAGTGGTTATTTTACCCCATGCATGGATTAATGATTATGGTATGGGACCTAATTGCTAATTGGGTATATTGAATGGTAGTGACTGCTCGGGTAGCTGGCGGGGCAACAACTAAAGAATTCATGCGGGAAGCTTCTTTAGTGCGAGGTGAGTCTCCTCACGATACCAATGGGTCTATGGCACCAAGGCCAGCCCGTTATGCATTATGTGATATGCTAGCTGATTTCCTGTTATGTGGTATGCTAGTTTATTATCTGTTATGTGATATGCTAGTTGTCTTTGTGATGCTTGCATGAAAGACCTCGGGGGGTTCCTGAGGCACTAGGGTGTAAGACCTTAGAGGGTTTCCATGGCATCCTTAGTCAAGACCATGTGAGGGTTTCCATGGCACTTGGGTGTAAGACCTTGGAGGGTTTCCATGGCATTGGGCTAAGACCATGTGGGGGTTCCCATGACACCCGGAGTAAGACCTGAAGGGTTTCCAGGGCATCCTTATATGTATGGTTGGTATGACAGTGGGCTAAGACCATGTGGGGGTTCCCATGGCACCCGGTGTAAGACCCTGGAGGGTTTCCAGGGCATCCTTATATGTTTGTATGAATGGCTTGTGTGATTGATAATGTTTATATAGTTGTTACAGCTGATATAGATTATGTGATTATGTCGATTATGTGGGGGTATACTCTGAGGAACTCACTAAGCTTCTTGATTACAATTTTGTTTATGGTTTCATGTATCTTTCTTTTGAAAAGGAAGGGCTCAGCTTGACCGCAACGCACACAACCATGTTTTCCACAAAGAATGATTTTTGGATGGTCTCTGATAACGTTTTTAATTAACAATGTTTTGGAATGATTGGAATAAATGATATCTATGTTGAGGTTATATTAAAAATGAAAATTTTACCCCCGATTTTCGGGTCGTTACAAGTTGGTATCAGAGCCTTAGTTTGAGGGATTCGGGGATACCTTCGGGTGTGTCTGAACTCAAACTGAGGATCTGTAAGAGTTTCAAAAAATTTCAAAGGAAAAAGTTTTAAGTAAAGAACTTTTAAGAAAAGAAAGGGTCTGGTGTATTCAATCAATCGAGCTTAAGTAAGTTTCCCAGAATACCCACATATGTTGTCTGTTATGATTTGATTATGAATCTGTGAATCGCATGCTTGTTAGGGCTAGGGGAGATTTCCATGGCATTGGGCTAAGACCATGTGGGGGTTCCCATGATACCCGGAGTAAGACCTGAAGGATTTCCAGGGCATCCTTATATGTATGGTTGGTATGCAGTGGGCTAAGACCATGTGGGGGTTCCCATGGCACCCAGTGTAAGACCCTGGAGGGTTTCCAGGGCATCCTTATATGTTTGTATGCATGGATTGTGTGATTGATAAGGTTTATATAGTTTTTACAGCTGATATGGATTATGTGATTATGTGGATTATGTGGGGTATGCTCCGAGGAACTAGCTAAGCTTTGTGATTACAGTTTTGTTTATGGTTTCAAGTATCTTTATTTTGAAAAGGAATGGCTCAGCTTGATCGCAGCGCACACACCCATGTTTTCCACAAAGAATGATTTTGGGGTGGTCTCTGATAACATTTTTAATTACCAATGTTTTGGAATGATTGGAATAAATGATATCTATGTTGAGGTTATATTAAAAATGAAAATTTTACCCCTGATTTTTAGGTCGTTACAAGTTGGTATCAGAGCCTTAGTTTGAGGGATTCGGGGATACCTTCGGGTGTGTCTGAACTCAAACTAAGGATCTGTAAGAGTTTCAAAAAATTTCAAAGGAAAATATTTTAAGTAAAGAACTTTTAAGACAAGAAAGGGTCTGGTGTATTCAATCAAACGAGCTCAAGTAAGTTTCCCAGAATACCCACATATGTTGTCTGTTATGATTTAATTATGAATCTGTGAATCGCATGCTTGTTAGGGCTAGGGGAGATTCCTGTGTATGTTGCATCAGCTGGTAGACTTGCATGCTAGTGCTGAGTAGTAAGCAATAGGTTGGCCTGATATGTGATGCTTGTATCTGCGAGAATATTGGATACCATGTTGGAATGAAAATGATAATTGGTATTTGTAACTGCAATGTATAATGTTTTGAAAATTGTATACGGTTAGGATCGTATAGCCTTAGAATAGCTGATTTGACCTTAGTTCCGGTGGTCTTAGGGTAGAGTCTATTATTCGACAGTCTATTAGCAGGGAACTTCCAACTTAAAAAGATACGTTAGGGACCAAGCATGTAAATTATCCCAAACTATAGGGACCATTCGTGTAATTCACTCTAAACTATTTGGTTAAAATGAGTGTGTAATTAATAGTACTTCAATTTCATGATTGCAAGTTTTGCTTATCAGGATCCTCTAATTCTATGATCAGGTAAGCTCTTTCATGAAAAAAAATATTTTTTTTCTTTATATATATATATATATATATATATATATATATATATATATGTGTGTGTGTGTGTGTGTGGTAGACTATGGGATCTTAGGCAACCGAGATGCGTGCATTCATATGTTGTTCATAAAGATTCTGTATGGGCACTTGCTACTACTCCAACATTCAATCATGTGTATAGTGGTGGAAGAAATCTTTCTCCGAGTGTGCTTCTATTTCTTTATGTTATTAACTTATTATTATAATAATTATCAATCATTTAATAATGATAATAATATTATTTGTTTCTACTTGTAGTAGTACTTGATAGACCTATCTAAGAGAGATAGCTTATTGCTATGCACAAAGGAACATCCTATTTAGCATTTATCATTAGATGATAATGGAATTTGGGTTGCAACAACACATTCCTCTATGGACAGATGGCCTTCTGAACACTTGAAACCTAAAAAATTGTTTCAAAGAGGTGGTTCCTTTCTTGCTAGAAATTTGTCTTTTTCAAGGGCAAGAGCTTCTTTAGAAGGATCTACCCCTGTGAGTTATGTTATCTTTTTGTAGTGTTTATGTTGATGCATAGCTGTTTACGTAAACCTACTCATTTAATTCATGTGTAGGTTCCTGTGTATAAAACTCCCACCTTAACTATTGATGGAATTCCAGGAATAGTGCAACATGAAATATTGAACAATAGAAGACATGTCCTTACCAAGGTAAAATATTAATCTTTTTTACATTTAAAAAAAAAAAAAGAACACTTTTTTTTTGTTGAAAAACTTGAAACTGATGGTGTGAAGAGTCAATTTGATAAGATAATGGTGGTTCTTTGAAGCTTTGGGAAATCACTAAAGGTGTTGTGATTGAAGACTATTGACATGTTTCATTTGAAGAGAAAAAGGAAGAACTATTTGAGATGGTATGTATGAATATAGATATCTTTATAAAAAAGAGTAAATTACATAAATGGTCCCTATGGTTTGGGGTAATTTGCGTATTTGGTCCCTAACTTATTTTTTAACTCGGAAGGTCCCTTTTGTTTGTTTTTGTTACGCGTCCTGTTTGTTTTTGTTACGCGCTTGGTCCCTATCATACCTAAAAAAACTACTATTTAAATCGGAAAAAATGGTGGGATAGGTAAGGTAAGGTGATAGGGGTAGGGTTGGAGGTGTATTTATTTAAATAAATTAAAAAACCAAGGGCAAAATAGTTTTTTTAGGTAAGATAGGGACCAAGCGCGTAACAAAAACAAACATTAAGGACCTTCCGAGTTAAAAAATAAGTTAGGGATCAAACACGCAAATTACCCTAAACCATAGGGACCATTCGTGTAATTTTCTCTTATAAAAACAATGTATATATATATATATATATATATATATATATATATATATATATATATATATATATATATATATATATATATATATATATATAATCTTCATCTGTTCCCATTATGATTTTATATTTTATTTTCCAGGTCAGCATTCTTGCATGGTTCACTGTAGATACTAGGCTTGGAAGCTTGTCTATTCATTTAGATACCCCCCAGTGTTTTTCTGCCAAAATGTATACTGCTGACCTCAACATCTCTCAGAAAGCTGAAGATGACAAGGTTCACACATTGGATTTGAATTAAGTAATGAAAAACATCAGCATTGATGAGTTACAAAATACAAATTACAATCTCTTTAATCTTTTGCAGATTAATTTAGGTCGAGAAACCCTGAAAGGACTATTGGCTCCTTATTTTTCCAAGAAAAAAGTTAGATTCGTGTCTCAATCTCCAGTAATTGGAGAAGCTCCAAGCAAAGATATATCTTTCAAAAATATTCCACTTTCAAGACCTAAAGCAGATGCTAATGTTCAAAGTGATTCCATAGTTTACCCTCCATTTCAATTCTCAATTGCTTCTCCTCCTTCAATTATTACTGAGATTTCTCATATTGGAATATGGAAGAAGAAAATTACTCATCTTCATGGAATTGAAGATGATGATTTCCCTCGTTGGGTTTTAGATGCTGTTTTGCTTAATCAAATGCCCCCAAGAAAACATACCAAGTAAATTGTTTCTTTGTATCTCATACATTTTAAATATTATAGAATTTAAAAACTACATTGTTAATGACTTAATTCATGAATTTAAAGATGCTCATTCAAGTTTCTTTGTGTTTTTAGATGCAATTTTTATTTACATCCATTTGAAGGTTCAGCTGCTCAGATCTTGACACAAGGGAAGCTGAGTGCACCTCGGATTTTAAGAATGCATAAGGTGTGATATATTTATTACTACAATCACTTAATATTATTAGTGTTGGATTTTTGCTCCTGGATTGAAGCCATGGAAGCTTAAGCCTTCCATAGAGATCTTGTGCTATAATCAGGCATGTTCATGAGTTTAATTCTTAATGATTATTTTATTTAATTGGGTAGAATTTGAATTTTTAAGTACAATGTCTTAATAAATAAAAAAGTTAAAACTGATTCTTTTGTATGCGCAAGTGTTAGCACCTGAAACGAGCTTAGCTACTGTTCGAACTTACATATGGAAAAAGTATGAGGATCTTGTTCTCAACTACAGGATCGTGTCAGGAAACTGAATCCATAGGTATGTGCTTCTTCATATTAGCAAGATACTTTACTCTCACTATCAGTAATATCTTTTACTCCCTCCGTCCCAAATTGATAGTCCACTTTTCATTTTTGAAGTCTTTTTTTCTTTAACTTTAAGCTTAAATATTTTTATTTGTGTTATATATTACTTAATAAAACTTATAACAATGAAAAAACAATTAAAATGCAATCCATTCATATATTTTGCATCAAGTATTATCTATCAAAATAAAAAATATTTAAGGTCAAAATTGAAGAAAAAAGACTTCAAAAGTCAAAAGTGGAATATCAATTTGGGACAGAGGTAGTAATTTTTTTTGTAGGTCCCACATAAGCAAGTATGGTAGTTGTTACAGAAAATTGAATTTGGGATTTTGTATTTTGACTTTTTGACAATGAGAGCTGTTGACTTTAGAGAAAAGAAGAGTGAATAATGGAAGAAACCAACTCTCTTGTAAAAATCCTTAGAGCTATTGATGGTTGCCAAGTTAATTTCAAAATAAATTGGATCATAATACTCACCACCTCTATCAGTACGCAAGACTTTTACTAATTAATTTTTATGAAGCTCAACTTGTTGTTTATAACTTTTAAATTTATCAAGTGCTTCATCCTTGGAATGTAGCAAATAGACATAACAATATCTAGATGCATCATCAATAAAAGTAACAACATACTTTTTGTTTCCAAGGGAAGGTGTTGCATGGAAATCACATAAATCACTATGTATTAGATCCAACACCTTGCTTTCCCTAACAACATCTTTGAAAGGTTGTCTAGTGATTTTAGTTAGCATGCATGTTTTACATTTTTCATTATTTTGCATATCAAAGGATTGGAATTAAACTCATTTTAGACATATCTTTTAATCTTTTGTAATGAATGTGTCCTAGTCTAGCATGCCATAATTCATATTTATTAAAATTATTGCTAGTACTAGTAGAAGCCATGCAAACAGAATTATCAATAAAAGGATAATTAATATTTAGCCTAATCATTCCATTACATACATATCCAAATCCTATAAAAGAACCATGTCTTGACAAGATATACTTGTCACTTTCGAATACTTGTTTGTAACCACAATTATTTAATACAATTTCAGACACGAGATTCTTACGAATCCCTGGAACATATAAAACATTGTTCAAACACAAACATTTCCCAGAAGTAAAAGTAAGTAAAACAGATCCTATGCCCTTGATTGGTTCAGTTGCAACATTTCCCATCTTCACAACAGATCCATCATTAATTGGTTGAAAGTCCTTGAACCAATATAAATCTTTGCAAACATGACTTGTTGCTCCTGAATCAACCCACCATGCAACATTATCATCCTGCACATAAAATGCTTCAGAAATCACAGAAATATAATTCTGAATATATTTAGAATTCTGCATGAATACAGAAATCTGACCTTGTTGCTTCTCTGGATCCTTGGATCCACTTGGTCCTGCACCATCCTTGTTCACTTTACGCAAACGACAATCTTTCTTGAAGTGACCCGGTTTGTTACAATTCCAACAGACCACTTTAGCCTTCTTGTTGGAAGACTTTTCATCCTTTCCTTTAAACTTCCTTTTTCCATTAGACTTCTTTTGATTCTTTGATCCTTCTCCATCTACTATGTTCACAGAAGAGGAACCAACTTGGTTCTTTCCTTTGGGATTGTTATCAAGTTCTTGAGTCCTTAAGGACTCTTCAATCCGTAAATGGCTTCCAAGTTGAGTTAAAGTTAATTCCTCTTTGTTATGTTTCAGATTGTGTTTAAAATCCTTCCAGGAAGGGGGCAGTTTGTCAATAATCACAGCCATAGAAATGGCTTCATCCATTTTCAGATTGTGTTGAGCAAACTTTCCCAGGATCCTTAACATTTCATGGAATTGTTCCATAACAGGCCTAGAGTCAATCATTTTGTAACCCATAAAGTTACTGACAAGAAACTTCTTGCTAGAAGCATCTTCTGCCATGTATTTAGATTCAAGAGAATCCCACAGTTCTTTTGCAGATTCGAAATTTTGATAGATATCTAAAAGAGAGTCAGACATACCATTGAGAATATGACCACGACATATGTAATCATCATTTTCACACTTTGATCTCCTTCTTGTTGCCTCCAAAGGTTCATCTTCAACAGATTCTGGTAAGACTGGCATGGGTGTACTCAGAACATATACCACTTTCAGAGTGGTAAGGAGAAAGTGCATCTTCTTCTGCCATCTACGAAAATCTTGCCCTTCAAACTTGTTCAATTTGTTAAACTTGCTTGTCATATCCTTCACAGAATCGCCACTTGCCATGATCACAAATTACTTCGATTTATGTTAGAAATTTGGGTGTAGAAAGGCTTGGAAATTCTGAGAATTGTGATTATCACTTTCAAATCGAAGTATTTGGTGGTACTCCCAAATCTTCAATTGGATAAGACTCAGAGAGACAAGAACCGAGAATGTTTGATGATATTTTCGTATGTACCAGAAAATGAGACCAAAACCAACTTTAATATCTTTGTTTGAAAACTGTCATATGACAGTTTTAAACTGTCATAAAACCATAAAAACTATCATAAAACGGATTTATGGATAAGGGTCAAACCAATGGTCAATTATCTGGAAAATCATATTTCTGATGCATTTTTTAATATAGTAAAACCAGCCAGGGGCTCTGCCCCTTGGACTCCGCTCCCAGGGGCACTGCCCCCGGACCCCCGTTCGTTCAGGGGTTTCGCCCCTAAATGACAGTGTACTTTGAAACTTGATCAAACTTAAACAAGTGTGTACTCCACACCTTCCTTACTTGTTTAATATTTATCAAGATCATTTTTGGTCAACACAAAGTAATCTCATTACACTTAAATAACATTGATGATCAAAATCACCAACAAGTTGTCACTTAAGACCAATGAAATTATATTATAGCAAGGAATGTTTAATAATGGTTTAAGTCGATGTACAGAATCCTTGTAACATATACTACAACATAGTTCAAATTAATCATTCTAAATAATCTTCCATCAAAAATTCATTTTTTACGCTTATCGTCTCTAAATTAATTAGCCCGAATCTACGGGCGTTATATATATATATATATATATATATATATATATATATATATATATATATATATATATATATATATATATATATATATATATAGAGAGAGAGAGAGAGAGAGAGAGACAGAGATGAGGGTTCAATTGAGGAAAAAAATGTTGAGAATGGAGGAATTATTGTCAGCCTCACATTTATTTTGCCGTAAAATGCTTAGGTGTACCGTCAGGAATGGATAACAGATAAACATGTGTTTTACAACAAAACATATTTCCTTAAACTACTCTAATCATTGCCTTAATATACACAAAAATAATTTTTTTTTTGTTTTTTTATTTTTAGAAAACCATTTTTATCGAAAAATTATTTTAAATATGTCAAAATTCACAATTTTTTATTCTCTATAAATAGACATCTATATTGATATAGTTTTTAGATAAAAAAAATATTTTTTTAGAGTTTTAACTCTTGTTATTTATAAGTGGATAAAAATCTATCAGATTTGTATTACAGTACATTCATTATTCGTTTATGAATAAAACGTATGCTTAACTTTTTTTTTTGATAGTTTAAGTATCGCTCATATATGAATATGACACGTAATAAAGTTTTCTTACTTAAAATATATTTTTTACATCATCTTTCGTCATATATTATATTTATATATGAATAAAACGTATATTAGTTGTCGTCATATTTTATATTTATTTATGAATAAAACATTTATCAGATTTTTGTTACAGTTAATTTGTAATTTATATATGAATAAGTAGTACAAATGGTACTTAAATTGTAAAAAAAATTAATTATATATTTTTATTCATAAGTGAATAACAAATGTAGTGTAACAAAAATCTGATGCATTTTATTCACTTATGAATAACGATAGCTGAAAATATAAATTTTTTCATTTTATCTTAAAAGTATATCAATACAAATATCTATTTGTAGAGAATAAAAAATAATGAATTTTTGTATATTTAAAATCATTTTTCGATAAAAATAGCTTCTTAAAATTAAAAAAAAAAAACGAAAAAAAACTATGTTTTTGTATATATTAAAGTAATGATTAGCATATTTAAGGAAACATGTTTTGTTGGAAACACATGTGTATTCCTTATCTATTTCTGCTGGTACCACATAGACTGTTGCGACAAAATAAATAAGTGGTTGAGAATGATTCCCTAATTCTCAACTTTTTTTTTATTTTCTAAATTGAATTTATATATATATATATATATATATATATATATATATATATTATTTTGTTTTTACTAACTATTGTGTAACAGAATGCATAGATCTGGACCACTGGATGAATATAATCAACAGTCATGATCTGAGGGTCTATGATATTACCATAGGGTAGCATGTATTATATAATCACACAAATTTCAGCAAAAGGTATTTTGGTCAATTAACCAATTTTAAAAAACGAAATTTTCGGATTTTAAGGGATCATTAATTCCCTTATTTTTTAACAATCTGAATTTTCTAAATTAAATTTAATATTATTTTGAATAATAACCGTTTTTATTCTGTCAGAATGACAAAAAATCAACAAGAAACCAGTAAATATATTTGCGGTTTTATTTTTACAAAATATTGTTTCATT